CAGCTAGAAGGTGCCAGGTTCTGTTTCTTGTCCAAATTAAGCTTAAATCCTCTCCTTTGTTCTACAGCCTAGGTGTAATCCTTAGATCTAAAAAAGTTCCCTTTAAACAACTGATTATGGTGATGGTGCAATCACAGATCAAAAGCTGCACGTTTTTTCCCTGCTGCATACACAGGTTGCCTAGTAACCGAGGGCCAAGAAGAGCCTTTGGAGGTGCATAGAGAAAAAGACAGTTTTTACCTTATTCGTAACTTTTACTGATTATAGACTTTTAGCTTAATACCTAGCCACACGTAAGAACATAGATAAGCACACAAATTCCTCTCCTAGATTTCTTTGTTGACTTAATCCCTAGTTACCTCACCAGAAAACTTCCACCAGCCACTCCCATTTTTATGCTGTAAATGAAAAATGACAGCTATTGCTCTGTATGTGAATCTTATCGGCCTTGGTGACCCTAAGAACTTCAAGCCTCACTTACATTGCCAAAACGAATTACAGTTATAAATGTATATAAGCTGGTATCCTCACTGTAGAAGACTTTTTGTAGAACAGTAAAAAGACATGGCTAGAAAGAACACGGTGTGAGGAGATCCATTCCCCATCTCTGAGATCATAGTTCCTCTGCTGATTATAGCGTCTCCCTTGGACCCGAAGAGAAAGGCTTTCATTATTTTGTCTCCCACGTTTAGGATCCTATTTAGACAGTCATTACCTCTACCAGTATCTTGCAGTTCCTGTTTCCTCATATAGTTTCGGAGTTTCAAGTCTTACAATCTTGGGTCTGTTTGGAGCTGATTTTACGCCCACTCAGTGAAAGGTGTCAAGTTTCAATATTCTGTGTATAGATATACAGTTTCCCAAGCAGAGTGTATTAATGAGGCTGTCTTTCCCCTGGTGTGTGCTTTTGGTATCTGTTAAAAATTGTAACATAGGTATGTGGATTTGTCTTTTTGTTTTCTATTTTATTCCCTCAGCCTGTGTTTCTGCTTTTATGGCAGTACCATACTGTTTTGGCTAATGTGGCTCTGCAGTATGTCTTGAAATCAAGTATCATACTTCTAGTTTTGGATTTTTTTTTTTCATCGATTCATTTGTTCTTTGACGATTTCACACATGTATATAATGTATGGTGGTCACTCTCTACATCACACCCTCCATTATTTCATTCCCATCACTACAATGTTCCTTTCTCCCATCTTGCCAGTCTCTTCAATTCATGACTTTTGGTGTTTTGTGAGACATTTTGTTTAAGCAGGGCCTTCTGTGTGAACATTGGGTTGGAATTACCCTTTGGAGCCTGGTGGGGTCACCAGTGAGCACCCAACTGGAGGCAATGGCCCTCCCTCTCCCTGAATCTATCAGTAGCAAGTATGTCCTGGCTGAAGGCTAGGGCCCTAGGGAGTCCCTCATTCATCCAAACTGGTTTATGAGTCCTTCTTGTGCAGGTCCAGTGTGAGAATTCACAACTGTGTGGATTTAAGGTCACAATGGCTGTGTCTTGCCCTTTTCCCTATCTTTCTGTTTCTCACATCTTGTCCTCCTCTTCCAAACATTCCTGAAACTTAGGGGCTAGTTTAGGGATGAGCACTCAACCACCACCTACTCCAAGCTGTATGAGCCTCTGAGCCTCTGTATTGACTTTACTCAGTACAGTTCCACACTGATGACTTGAGGCTGCTTTGGCTCTTGAGGTCTTTATGCTTCTGCATCATTTTCAAATTGCCTTTTCTAATTCTGTAATGAATGTCACTGGTATTTTGGAGGACTACATTGAAGCCACAGATTGCTTATGGTAATATTGATTCTTTCAACCTAAGAACATGGAATACTTCTTCTGCCTTTCAGCATCTTTAGCTTTCTTCAGGGTTTGGTAATTTTTGTTTCCAAAATCTTTCACTTGAGCATTTTATTCTTAAGGTGTGTGCACATATGCGTGTGTGTGTGTGTGTGTGTGTGTGTGTGTGTGTGTGTGTGTGTGTGTGTTGAGGATAGAGTTACTTCTGTGGTTTCTCAGCAAATTCATTATCAGTATGTAGAAAACCAACTGACTGCCAGCTGAAGTGAGAAAATTTCATTTTAAACTATATGTGTATATACGTAAGTATTATATGTAATTTTAGGTAAATAATGATTCCTTATGACTTTTTCAAGCACTTTATTATTAAGTTCATTCGTTTATTTTACATCCCAATCGCAGTTTCCCTTCCCTCCTCTCCTCCCCACCTCCCCCGCTCCCAGCCATCCACTCCTCCTGTTTCTGTTCAGAAAGGGACAGGCCTCCCATGGGTGCAAAGTTGAGGTAGAACTAAGCTCCTCCCCTTGTATTGAGGTTGGGCAAGGCAACCAACTCAATATGAGGACTAGGTTCCTGGAAGCCAGCCAAAGTGTTAGGGACAGGCCCTGCTCCCACCACTAGGAGTCCCACAAGTAGATCAAGCTACACAACTGTCACACATATGTAGAGGGCCTAGGTCAGTCCCATGCAGGCTCCCTAGCTGTCAGTCCAGAGTCTGTGAGCTCCTATAAGTCCAGGTTAGTTGTTTCTGTGGGTTTCTTTGGGGTGACCTTGACCCCCATGGCTAATGCATTACTTCCTCCCTCTCTTCAGTAGGATTCCCTGAGCTCGGCCCAGCACTTGGCTGTGGATCTCTGCATCTGTTTCCATCGGTCACTGGAAGAAGGCTCTCTGATGACAATTAGTCTCTAATCTGATTACAGGAGAAGGCCAGTTTAGGCACCCTCTCCACTATTGCTAGGAGTCTCAGCTGGGGTCATCCTTGTAGATTCGTAGCAGTTCGCCTTGCACCAGGTTTCTATCTGACCACAAACTGTGACCCCCCTCATCAAGACATCTCTTTCATTGCTCTCCCCCTCCATTCACCCCCTCAACATGATCCCTCATGTTCCCATCCTTGCCGGTCCCTAGTCTACCCAGATGTCTTCTATGTCCCCTTCCCAGGGAAATCTATGCATCCCTGTCCCTCTTTGGGCCTTCCTTGTTACCTAGTCTCTCTGGGTCTGTGGATTGTAGCATGGTTATCTTTTATTTTACAACTAATATCCACTTAAAAGTGAGTACATACTGTGTTTGTCTTTCTGTGTCTGGGTTACCTCACTCAGGATTTTTTTCTAGTTCCATTCATTTGCCTTCAAATTTCCTGATGTCATTGTTTTTAACAGCTGAGTAATTCTCCATTGTGTAAATGTACCATTTTCTTTATCCATTCCTTGGTTGAGGGGCATCTAGGTTGTTTCCAGGTTCTGGATATTACAAATAAAGCTGCTGTGAACATAGTTGAGCAAGTGTCCTTGTGGAATGATTGAGTATCCTTTGGGTATATGCCCAAGAGTGGTATAGCTGGGTCTTGTGGAAGATTAATTCTCAATTTTCTGAGAAACTGCCACACTGACTTCCAAAGTGGCTGTACACATTTGCACTGCCACCTGCAGTGGAGGAGGGTTCCCCTTGCTCCACATCCTCTCCAGCATGCACTGTCACTTGTGGTTTTGAGCTTAACCATTTCTGACAGGTGTAAGATGGAATCTGAGTCATTTTGATTTCCATTTCCCTGATGACTAAGGATGTTGAACAATTCTTCAAGTGTCTCTCAGTCATTTGAGATTCTTCTGTTGAGAATTCTGTTTAGATCTGTAGCCCATTTTTAGTTGGATTATTTGGTTTTTTGATGTCTAGTTTCTTGAGTTCTTTGTATGTCTTGGAGATCAGTCCTCTGTTTTCAGACACTCTGTTATTTTACCTCCTCCCTCTCCCAATTAACCACATTTCCTTGTTTTTCACATTTCTCCCTTCAACTCACTTGAGTCCTGTTACTTCCCTCTTTATCACCCCACACACCAGAGTTCCTTTTTGCTTTCTTGGCTTCTATGGTTACAAGTTAGAGAGTCATATCTGAAGATTTGAAGTAGGAGCCACAGATAAATGTGATGTTTGTCTTTCCAGAACTGGAATATCTCACTCAGTGTAATGTTTTCTAGTACCATTGATTCATCTGAAATGTCATGATTTCTTTTTTATTTACAGTTGCATAGTATTCCATAGTATATATGTACCACATTTGCATTAACTAGTCATCCTTTGAAGAACATTTAGGTTGTTTCGATTTCCTAACTATTGTGAATAGAGCAGTAATGAACACAACGGAGCAAATATCTGTGTAGTCGGATGCCAAGTCCTTTGGGCAAGAAGTGGTATGGCTGGGTCATGTGGTAAATTGATTTTTAGCTTTTGAAGGGTTCTCCACACTGATTTCTAGAGTAGCTGGACCAGCTTGCAATCCCACCAACAGTGAATGAGGGAGGAGAGTTCGCTTTTCCCCAGATCCCCCCAATATTTGTTGTCAGTTGTATTGTTGATCTTGGCCATTCTGATTAGGGTAAGATAAATCTTAAATTTGTTTTGATTTGCACTTCTCTAATTGCTAGTGATGACGAGCACTTCTTGAGATATTTCTTAGCCATTTTTATTTCTTCTCGTGAGAACTCTCTGTTCAGATCACAAGGCCATTTTTTGAATGGGTTGTTTGGTTTTTTGTTTTCTTTATATATTCTGGGTATTAATCCTCTGTCAGATGTGTAGCTGGCAAAGAGTGTCTCCATTCCATAGGCATCCTCTTCACCCGGTTGACTATTTGTGTGTGTGTGTGTGTGTGTGTGTGTGTGTGTGTGTGTGTGTGTGTGTATGTATACCTCAAGGAATAAAGCAGGGAGTGGAAGTTCATGCCTATAATCCCATCATTTAAGAGCAGAGGAGTCAGGACAGAGTTTGAGGCCATCATCTGACTCCTGGCTCCTCCCTATACATCCATCCAACTGTATCTGATGAAGCAGGTATCTCTTTTCATCATGATTAACACATACACAAAAGCATCTGAAAACTAAAAGTATAGTAAACATTTCTTAAATGAGACAATGAAATAAAGGAAAAAAGTTTCTGATACTCTTAAACCAAAAAGATTGTTTTAACAGAAACATTGATATAAGGTTCTCATAAATTTATTTCAATAGCAAAAAATAACAGGAATGTAAGAATCAACGTTTTGGCCTGACTATTCTCTCCATATCACAAACACAGGGGCACTAGGGGCGGGCGAGGGGCATTTTCCTGGCCTGGCAGTGTTAGCTTCCACTGCAGCCAATGTCTGACCTGACAGGCCACTTCTTCCTGGGGACAGCTCACTTTAAGAGTATTCCAATTATGTTCACAGAGGAACTGTGAAGGGAAAGAGCAAGTGACAGTAGTTTGTGGAATTTCATTTCTTACTATCTTACAGAATTCTAATTTATTTGTGATTTTAAAATTCTACTTCTGCCCTTTATTGGATGAAAAGGATCGCATACTCTGTATAATGTTAATGTTAAGTTAAACACTGCCTGTGACTCCTGAGGTTACATCATGAGTCCTCCAGAGGAATAAAAATGTCCCTGGGCAGGCAGCAGTTCTAGTCCTTCATGTTTTACACAGATGAGGGCCCAAAGTGCTAAGTGCATTTTTCAAGCATATTCTGAGACTGTTTAAAGCTCCAATAAATTATGAAAGGCAAATTCATAGACAGTCTGAGAGCGAGAATAGCTATTAAATCTGTGACCCTACAGGCTAGCTCGACCTTGGTATACATAGACCCCGACCACAGAACTGCTCATCTGAGTGCGTCCCAACTAGAGAGCTGGTCCTCATGAAGCAGGCACAAGGGCGGTCTCTACGCTCTCGAAGTGACTATGTCTGCCCCAGGCTGCCGGTTACCCGCACAGCACCATCACACATCAAAGTCCTCCAGCTGTCCCCAGCTGGCACCTATTTTCACTTTCACTTTCAGCTTCACAGAAAGTTTTATTGCACATTCCATTTCATTCTTGACAATCTGAGCTACCTAAAAATAAAAAAAAGAGGTTAATAAACTCCACCCAACCCCAGTTCACCCACTGAGAAAGGGATGAACCAGACTGGCACTCTGCATCCAGTGGTTTTAAATCCAGAAACGAGCCAGGCATGCAGACCGCCCTGCACTGATGAGCAGCTCCGAACTTGGAAACCCTCAGGGCAAGCCCGTAGACTCTTACTAATGTTTCCCCAGACAATCATCTCTGCGTCAGGAACCCCCTTACTCTCGTAGACTAAGCATACTTATCTTTTCTCCCTGGATAAATGGATTCAACATTTATCCAGCCAGCCCATGCTAGAGAGGATCCAAATTCCCTGTGCAGGGTAAAGGACCAGCCCTTCCGACCCCCGCCGTCTCCATTGCCCACAGAATGGACCGTGCACAGCAAAAATACCTGAACGACATCCTCTTCTGCCACTTCATATAAAAGCTCATCATGAAGTTGAAGGATGAAGAAGCCTCCTCTCATAGGACAAAACATCCCTTTAAGTTTTCTCTTTGGTAACAATCCTGCCCCTAGAAAAACGGAAAACTATTTTGTTGTTTTGTTCTTAATTTTGAGACTATATTAAACACATAGGTTTTGGGACTGTCAGGAAAAGAACTAGTAGCTGGTGGCTACCTCGCCTCACCATCAGGTGAACTCAAATCCCTAGTAACTTCCTTGAGAAAGAAGGAATAAACAGGACATCAGGAGCTCATCCTAAGACTTCTATAACCTGTTTCTCCTAAGCATCCAGCGTTTTCTGTTTCAATGGAAACTCCTTCACCCTTGAGCAGCAGTTCTGGTGGCCTGGGGCCTGATCACTACTCCAGGGAACAGTCAATTCTTTCAGGCCATGCTTTAGAAAGGGCTTCCCTGGTGCCTTGCTGTGGTTAGAAATGTCACGTAGCAGAATTTGTGTTTCCCTGATGGACTGTACTCTCTGGACAATTCCAAACCTAGGTCCACATGTGAACTTAGCACATTTGTGAGTGCCATGAATTGTAGGTTAGAGTCTGTCTGTTCAATAGCCTGTGGCAATGTTCTGTATTTTTCAGTCAATTTGCAAAAGGTCAATGGCTAGTAACATGGTGAAGCCACTGTCCTAGGCTTAACTACCTTTTCCTAACTAGCTGGGTCTAATGACAGACTGTATCCCTCACAGTAACTGCCTCTACCAGTGTGCTCCCACACCAGTCCCTTCTTTCTGTCATACAGATTTCCTACTGACCCTTCAGGCCCAACAACAAGAGTCACCCTCCTCCAACATCTACTTCTGCCATAAAGTCCTTTACCCACCATTGGGTGTCTGCAGTCTGAGTTAGCTCAGAGGCGGCTGGAGAATGAAGACAGCAAAACCTACAGCTGCTTCCACCCAGGACTGCCAAGCTGTTTCTGTGCCAGTCTGGCTGAGATCTACCTGCCACCCAGTGCCCACTTACCACGGGGAGAAGCTAGATCAGTGGTTCTCAAGCTGTGGGTCATGACCCCTCTGAGGTCAAATGATCCTTTCACAGGGGTTACATATCAGACAGTCTTCATAACGGATGTTTACATTAGGATTCATACAGTAGCAAAATTACAGTATGAAGTGGCAACAAAAATAACTTTATGGTTGGGGTCTCCACAACACGAGGAACCGTATTAAAGAATGGCAGCGTTAGGAAGGTTGGACCACTGGTCTAGATGCTCTGGTTTTTCTCCTTTCTGACCATAACTTTGTTCTCGCCACTTCCCCTGGTTCCCGGCTTCTAACCCAGAGTGCAGTGAGTTTCTTGTTCCTTGAGTCCTTTGCTTCGTTGGGATCACTGTCCCTTGATCTCATGATTTACAGCAGTCACTCAGCATGGTGGCACCTTCAGTGACACCCCCACTTGACTGCCACCTAGTCTCAAAGGTGCCTGCTGTGAGTCCTGCTGACACTCTCTGCTGAGGAGTCACACACCTATTTTATTCAGCGACTGTATCTTCCTCAGAACATTTTACCTTTAACCCACAGGCTGTAAGCACCTACTTCTAAATCTCTATACTAGTTGCTGTAACCTACACAAATCTCTTCTGGAAGCAGCAAATTCCACCCTGAACTGCAGCTATTTATCTTTGCTGCCCAGGGCCAGCAGCTTATCTTGGCCCTGTATGCCCTAAACCTCAACTTTCTCCAAGGACGTTTATGGATTGAGGTCTCCTTAGCACTGACACGTGGTATTTAAAGTAGAAGTGCAGACATGTAACAGAAGAGGAAAAGCAAAGCTCTGCATAATTATTAGAGGAACAAATAACTTATCCAGGAAATAAAGGAATAGAACCTGTAAGTATCTCAAGAGTGAGAACACAACAAAAAAAGCAGAGAACAATATTAGCAAAAGACTGTATGTGGTAAGATCACCTCAGAGAGCAATGGGGTCACAGATAGGAACATCATCAAGGTCCTAACTGTGCTCTTGGGCCACAGAGGATTCCGCATGTGCAAAGTCAGACTGACTTTCCTAACAGCACTCCAAGTGATTTTCCTGGGTTTGCCTTTTTGATCACCTCTCATAAATCAACAGCAAGGCGACCAAGCATCCTGGGCTAGGGCTCAAATCCCCACATCCTGGGAAACACATCAGCATCCTAACACTTGGGGCTTATCATTGCAGACTTCACTTTGGTTTGTCCAGAGACACAGGATATGTGACACAAAATGGTACAGAAGCAGGACTCCATCTTTTTGACAAGCCAGGCATTAAAGGGACTTGTAGAAATGCAAAATAAAGCAACTCATGACTAATTTTCTTCTGTCCCAAAAAGATGTACTTCCATGAAAACATGTTACTTAGGTTAAAATGTAGTGTGCTTACTATTTTTAAGATCGATTTGGGGGTATGTGTATGCGGTACAGGTGCCTAAGGAGGTCAGAGGTGAACCTCCTGATGTGGATGTTGGGAACCGAACTAAAGTCGTCCACAAGAGCAGTATGCACTCTTAACCTTTGAGACATCTCTTCAGCTCCCTCTTTTTAGAAAGGTTTATTTTTTTTTATTTTTTTATTTTTTGGTTTTTCGAGACAGGGTTTCTCTGTGTAGCTTTGTGCCTTTTCTGGATCTTGCTCTGTAGACCAGGCTGGCCTCGAACTCACAGAGATCCACCTGCCTCTGCCTCCCGAGTGCTGGGATTAAAGCTGTGTGCCACCACCGCCCAGCAGAAAGGTTTATTCTTAATTATATTATTGTCTTAAAAAATGTTAAAGCAGGGTTGGGACTTAGCTAATGGTAGAGCACTTGCCTAGCAAGAGCAAGGCCCTGGGTTTGGTTCTCAGCTCCGGAAAAAAAAAAAAAAAGTTAAAGCAAGCTTGAAAATTATCTAATTTCCAATTGGTAATTAGAGAGTATATAATCTATTTAAATAACAGTTCCTTGGTATCATTAATAATTTCTAAGAGTATAAAGGTATCCAGTACCAAAATATTTGAAGATTCTTAGAAATAACATATAAACTACTCCCTCCTGACACCCACTTTTCGGATGCAATCATTTTCACCATGTCAGATGCAGCAAGGGCCTTGCTGACAGACAAACCTGTTCGGCCATTCTGGAGCATGCTTTCCCGATGACCATGGGATTTGAAGGCTGAATGGAAGGACTCTAGTTGTTTCTGAATGTTAACTGTGGCTGTTTTGACTATATCAGCAGCTGATCCTTGAACTGTTGTGTTGATGGCCTGACGTTCAGCCTATAAAAAAACAATTACAGGCGCTTAATGATATGTGTCAACATGGTCTCACATTTGGCCTCAGTACCCACAGATCAGTGGGTCTAGAAGCAGCCAGAAGTCTAGACTGAGATGTGACCCAGGACATCAACAGGTAGGCCTCATCCTACAAATAACAAGCCTCAGCCTTCCCTTCTGGGCCATCCTCATGAGACTAGACTGAGCATTAGGTTGGATTGTTTTGGTTTAAAAATAAATCTTCAGTGTTCGGTTAGGATCCCCTAGGTGGACTGCACTTAGAAAGCTTCCAATAGCTCAAATTTAGTTTATTCTATAACAGCTAAAGCTCTGAGGTATGTTTACAAATTTCACTCTAAATGAAAAAAATCTAAAGATTTCTTCCTAAAAATACTCTTAATTTTAAACAGACATAAGATATTCTTTGTAGTGCCCGTTGGGCATTCCCATACCAATGGCTCCCAAAGTCCCACACAAAGTTTAGCCAGCAGGTCTGAAGCCCTCTAACAGGAACCAAAGGTTTTCACGGGTGGCAGAAGATAATCATTAGTTTCCAGAGAAAACGTAGATCCTGTATCCCCAAGTATTAAATTAGAACTTCTCCGAAATCATTGCTGCCAAGATCATCCTAACAGTCAACTGTAGGACAGGAAGGGAGGGAGCCCAGTTTAACATCCAGGTGCAATCTGCTTATAAATACTAGTTCTGGTGCCCCCAAATGGCTCGTAAAATGGCAAGAGTCTCTTTTAAGGAAGGCAGTCGATGTAATTGGAGAGTTCCTGTGAGGATGCTATACCAGCTTCTAAAGTATATTCAACATCTGCTGAAGAGACAAACTGTTGATAGGCTACAGTGAACTCTAAAGAGTAACTGGATTTCAGAGTGTCACCTACTCTGCCTCTTTGAGACCATACATCTCTGTGCATTAGGTTGTATAACAGTCATTGCTGCCTTCCTCAGTCATTATACATAGGAGTTTATTTTCTTGACTAAAAGCAACTTAAAGGAAGAATGAGTTTATGTGGCCTATACTTCCAGGCTACCATTTATAACTAGGGTGAGCCAAGGCAGGAACTCAAAGCATGTCAACATTAGAGAGAGAATAAACATATGCATCTTTTTTGTTTGCTTCCATCCTGCTTTCTTCTGTCTTATAAGTTCATGGCCACCTCTGCCTGGGGAATGGTGACACCCTCAGTGGGCTGGGTCTTCCTACATCAATTAACAATCAAGACAAATCTCTACAGCCATGACCACAGACCAACCCACTCTGGGCAATTTTTAAAAAGAGGAAACCAAGTTAAATAGTCCTGGCATTCGAAGTCACTCTTTCTCTTGGAGTAATCAACAGGTTCCATAAGCAGCAGCCAGGAGGTTGTGGACAGCTGACAAGATATTCTAATAGGCTTGAGGGGCTTGGGGAAGCAGATCTGGGACCAGAAATCAACTAGTAGAAGGAGGCCTGGTAAACCATCCAGGGGCAGCAGAAAATCAACTCTCTCCCTCTCTCTTCATATATATATATATATATATATATATATATATATATATATATATATATGTATGTGTATATATACACAGACACATATATACATGAATGAGGCTGGGCAGTGAAGCTGTGACAAAAGCCACCTGTCATTTAAGGCCCCAACACACATCAGTGCCCTGACAGCTCTGGATGCCAGAGAGAGGAGCTAGACAGTAGACACTGCCATGCAAAATCATGGAGAGATGACAGAACGAAATGCACTGAAAGTGGAGAAGATGCAGATGACTGCAATACTTTCATGACTCCCAACAATCTAAAAGCAATTGAATAATCATTTAAGCAAATATCTTCCAAGACCTATAGCATTAAGTTAAAGCGGCCCTGTTCACTACTCTGGATAGCCTAACACCCTCTAATAAAAAAATAAAACGGATAAGCAGAACTAAAAGGGGACCCATGGTTAACAACCGGCTAACTTGGAGACGGTTAGCAAACTGCCACATGAGAATGCAGGGACCGAAAGGCCATGGAGTCTGTGCTGAGCTTGGTGGTGCAGGTCTGTGGTCCCAACTATCCAGGAGACTGAGGCAGGAGCATCCCAACCTCAAGGCCTTCCTGGGCTACAGCATGAGTTCAAGGCCAGCCTGGGCAACTTGGGTGCTTTCTCAAAGAGTTGGGGGAGGGCAGGAGGACAAACAGGAATGGAGATGGGAATATAATTCAGCATTGGAGTGCCTACCCACTATGACTGATGCCCCAAAGTTCAACCCCAGCACTGGAAAAAAAAAGTGTTTATTTACCACCTGTCCCCAAAGCTAATAAATACTTCTCATGCTTAAGTATTAAGTGGCCAGATGTTTATATTAACTTCCCCAAACAGAGCTCTCACTCTAAAAGTCCTTTATAAAATCAATGGCAACTGTGTTGAAAACTAAATGTCAAAACTCAGAGAAATTTCTACATACATGTGCTTTGTGATAAGGATTGTTGTCTTTGATTCCTGGCAAATATCTACGTCTTCCCAAAATGGTCTGAACAAAGCCATCTCTTCTACAGTTCTTCACTGTGTCCCTCATGAAATGATTAATCCCTACAAAGAAAATACAGAAACAATTACAACCAAAGTCCACCCTCTGTGTCGTTCGCTGTTTCAATATGACAAAATCCCGCCCTGCCTCCTGGCTTTGCTTCATTCTGTTCTGACTGCTCAGAGCCCTCGCTCTTATCTGTCACAGTGTCATCGCTGGAGCATCTGCGTCCATCTGCGTTCTAACCCCTGAAGGGCCTCACTTGCAGGTGTCCTGAAAGTGGGGTTCCCTCGCTCCTTCCTTCTCTCTTACTCCTGCTTCTTAAATTTCAACGCCAAGTTTGGGGGTTCACAGTCATCTAGAACACCCCAAACCACACACAGGCTTGCAGAAAGCAGGCGGCATCTGAATCACCTCCCTGGGTCACCTCTGAAGGCATGCTCTGAGTCTAATACAGCAATGTCATCGCTTTTACTCCTTTTGAACAAGGACCTCTATCTTTGCAAGCATTAAAGCAATTTTTACTCAGATTTGAGGGGGAAAATAAAAAGCCAGAAACACAAGTGTGGTTAAGAGAGAGAGAGAGAGAGAGAGAGAGAGAGAGAGAGAGAGAGAGAGAGAGAGAGAGAGAGAGACGGGATTATATGATAAGTATCTCAATCCAACAACAGGTCCTGCTGAGCATGAACCGTCTGCTGTGACCAGATCCCCTGAGGGTCCTTTGCTCTCCCTTGTGGGCTCAT